TATTTGCAGCATCTCTTTATGATAATTTTCCCGTATCACAATACCAGTTGCCATACTTCAGCAACAACGTCGCCTTCGTAGATAGCTCTCTGTGTTGGGCACCTGCATTTTATTACTATTCTAACATATCACTGTTATGGCGATTTCAGAATATGTATTAGTGATTAAAGTATTTTACATGGGCAGCAATACGCAAAGTGCAAATACGCTACGAAAATTCACTGGTATGTTCCAAGTAGAACACGAAGTATAGTCTATGTAGATGGGTTAACACAGTAAATGAGACAACAAATGGTAAAACAGCATAGCCTCACTACCGCCAGCCAAGTGGCGCAGAAGATGCAAGCAAAAAAGTCGAAGCAGGTGTATGCAGGTAAAACGGAATGCAGAAAGAAAGATACAAATTTAAAATACAATTAAAGTTCATAAATAGCATATAATATACAATGAACTAGAGTGCGAGAGTTACGGTAAATTAAGAGAAAAAAGACCCAGGCTTAATCCAAAACAATATTTTACAACAGTGTTAAGATATAATAAAGTTTACACAAACAACAACTTAATTTTGATTTTTGCTTATATATAAAGTGGATGGACAAAAATATGGAAACACCTTGTGAAATGCATGTTTGAAAAGAAAGATTGATTTTAATGAAATATGTAGGTGGCGCTGGCGTTTTTGACTACTGACGCCACCTATACAACTTCGTAAATGATCTAAACAGTTCAGTTGTTGTCGGAGTACTGTTATGTGAGGTTGTCATTGCATTATGTCAGAGTTAACAGACTTCGAACGTGGGCAAATTGTTGGAGCACGTATGGTAGGTGCTTCCGTAAGCAAGGTAGCCGAGGTGTTTAGTGTTTCAAGAGGTACTGTATCGAAGATTTATTTCGCATATTTGAAAAGCGGAAAAACATCATCTGCTAAATCACAGCGCGGACGAAAGTGTGTCCCGAGTGATCGTGACAGACGATCATTAAGGGCAATTGTGACGAAAATAAGAAGACACCACAGCTGCAAAAGTTACTGCTGAAATGAATGTTGTGTTTACCGAACCCTGTGAGTACCAAACAATTAGAAGGGAGCTTCATAAACAGGGAATTGCTGGCCGTGCTGCAATTGAGAAGCCACTCATCAGTGATGCTAATGCCCGTAACAGGAAAAGGTGGTGTTTAAGTCATAAAGCCTGGACTATAGAGCAGTGGAAGCGAGTAATATGGTCTGACGAGTCTTCACAATTGTTTCCCACTTCTGGCCGAGTTTTACGTCTGGAGAACGCCATCTCAAGCCTATAATACAAACTACTTGTTGCCAAGAGTGAAACATGGCGGGGGTTCTGTTATGGTTTGGGCAGCCATATCGTGGGTTCTCTGCTAGCCCCATGATAACTGTGTCAGGGTACACGACTGCCAAGACTTATGTGAACATTTTGGCCGATCAAGTTCATCCCATGGTACAAACTTTGTTCCCCGATGGTGATGGTGTCTTCCAAGACGACAAAGCCCCTGTTCACACAGCTCACATTGTCCAGGACTGGTTTTCTGAGCACGAGGATGAGTTGTCCCATCTCCCCTGGCCACCACAGTCACCAGACCTGAATATTATCGAACCTTTGTGATCTACATTGGAACGGAAAGTGCGTTCTCGTTATCCACCGCCAACATCGTTATCTGAACTTGCCACCGTTTTGCAGGAAGAATGGTATAATATTCCCTTGGCAAACATACAGGAACTGTATTTATCCATTCCGAGAAGACTGCAAGCTGTTTTGGATGCCAACGGGTTTCCTACACCATATTAAGCAAAGAAACATGTTTTTTTAAAGGTGTTTCCATATTTTTGTCCAACCCCTGATGTATATATGTATGTATATATATATATATATATATATACGGATGATTTGACCAATGTTTGGGCCAAATGCATTTTTATATTCAGTTATGACTTGTACAAGTTGAGATATCTCACTGAAACTAGTACTTCGAACACTATTAAGGGAGCTGTGTCGGTTGGAGCATTTTGTGAGTTGACAGGATTTGCAGTATGTCCCGTAACGACAGGTTCCTCTCAGGTAATAGCGTGGATTTCAGTGCCTGAGAAAAGCTTAGGCTAAGTTTAACTTAGAAGAAGTTTTTGATTTTGGAATTTCGGACAACCACCGTATGATGCCACATGTTTGGCAGTTTGCAAAAGAAATTTTTAGTTTTCTGACCTTCGAGAATTTTCGCTAACCACGGCATGATGCCACATCAGGCTCTATGCGGTTTGCCAGGCGGCTCTAGTGATCACAATTAACAGTTCTGTGCAACCCAGCAAACATAGCACCCTGGGGAGCCACGTGGCAGTTCTCAGATGAAAGATGCCATTTCTGGCAACTGTGACACTGGAGGAACCTGGTTTGTTTTCTACTTTTATTTGAAAAAACATAAGATTTGCAGCAGAATTAATTTTTTCAAAATTATCAGTGGGTATAATCTGTCCCTGAAAGAGGGGCTTTGGGGTTCTGGTCCTGCATTTTGTGAGCTGCAAACTTGGTGCACAGTGAAACCATTTTCAGTAAGAGCATCAGAAATGTTATTAACGTTAGACAGTCCTTTGAGTAAAACTTTCAGTTTTTTTAATCCTATGACTTATTACATAACGTATTCAATTCCAGGATCGTCAGACCCCATTGGAGTTAACTACATCTTACTTCTTCCACGGCCGCTTAGACCGCCTGATTTACACCCCCCAATCGAAAATGTGGAAAATGTGGAGGATATGGTCAAATGAAAAGTGATGGGGATATGATAGATCTCAGCAAATTTTGATGAACTTCAGACGCGAATTAATGGAATTTGGATTACTATTCTACAAGATACCATAAACATTTTGTTTAAATAATCCGATGTGTAGAGCAAGCAATACAAGCCAGAGGTGGGCACGAAGAATACTAATGGTATCGACGTATATAATACGCTTTATTTTGAAATGCTAATAATTTGTTTAGTACTTTACATATGCTACAAGAAAAAAAAAGCTTACTGACATTCTTTTTGGACTTTTTCTTTTAATGGCAGTAGTGTATTATATGCAGCATGCATTTAAGGTCTTAGAAAATATCACAGTATCACAAAAAGCTAAGAGTATACTAATGCCTTCTTCACAGAATTATGAAAAAAGGACTTTAATAACATGGCGACGAAATAAATAGTAGTAATGAACATCAGTCACCAAGGAATAGTTGTTACAAGAGCAGAGAGAGGAGAAAATCAAACTACAGAGTAATCCTAATCGTATCTTGTCATAAATGCAACTGATTGTTTATAGCTTAAGAAAATAGGAGTACATGTTTCAGGATTTAGGAAATGAGAATAGATATTCAAGTGCAAAGAATTATTGATTGCAGATGCTAATAAATGGATGCCACATAAAAAATACAATAGCTTAAAAACAAGCAGTTCAACATTGCTCATATTCTAAAATGCACAACTTTGAATATACTTTGTTTGATGGGAAGGACAGTAAGATAGGTATGTGCATGTGATTTTTAAGGAATTCAAGAAGCGATTTTATCTGAAAATATTATTCTTAAAAGCTACTCATGACAAGCTGGAAAGAGATAAAGGCTATCTAATGAACAATCAACCAAGTAAGCCCCAAATTAATCATACAGTTACGCAAGAAAATAAGTTAGAAAGTGTTAAAAACACAGTCAACCATTTTTAAAATATAATCCCAAAAATAATGCATTATATGTAATTGTGTAATAAAACAAGTCATGCAATCGAAAAATAGTGTTTTCTAACTGCAAAAAATGGTAAATAAAATTTTTACTGCTCATAGAGGAGGAGTTATTTCGATTCATATAATATGTTCTGATCCTTAAATGCAGAGATCGTGGACTAACAAACAGTGATTTACCTTCCACAGAACAAAAGAATTACCAGTAAGAAAATAATAATACAAACAAGCTTACAACGAATTTTCATGAAACGAGGCCAAAAAAAGAAAAAAAGGCAGACCTCATGACGACAGTCAGCAGTAGAAAAAATGGCGGATCACGCAAGCTCAGTTACGTCATAAGGGCCACCACGCGAGTAGGCCATTCGAAAGCAATTTTAAATCACGCTGTTAGGATCGGCTATTAAAAATAGACCATCAGCAGCTGTTACATGGAAACTTGTTCTACGTGCGTTTAAAGGTCACTGGACTAGTGAATTTGGTGACATCCGTAAGCATATAAAAATGACGTAAAAGCGTTCACACAAATAAGGTAGAAAAAGTGTTTATTTATTTATTTTTTTTTATACCATTCACTTTCTTCTTCGAGTGTTGTCCTAAGACCACTGATTACTTCTGATTTGTTTGCTTACAGCGCACTTGAATCTTAGATGAGTCTGGTATGAAGTCGTAAAATATGTATAAACTCGAAGGAAATAAAATTGAAAATCACATCATTGGAAGGAAATTTGCACTTGCTCCTACAAATCTACACATACAACAGAAAATTCTTCAGATATTTTTCAGAGAACTTTCTAAAAATTTTCAGAACGACGAAACTTCTTATATGGGAAGAACACAAATTTTAGAGCTTGAGAATGAAACTCCTTCCGTCAGACGAAATTTTTTCTCAGCTATTTGGTCATTAATTTTGTAGCCATTAAGACGCATTGATGTCTTGGTATTAAAAGCTCCCTTAATTAAAACATCTTAAGCAGGATCGACTAAATATTTTAACACAGGCGTGCCTCAAAACAATAATAAAGGGGGAAAAAATAAAAATGGGTCGACCAATGATTGAAGCCAGGAAACAGAAACAGTTTGGTTTGGCGGGGGGAAATGCATGAAGGTTTCGTGCTTCATGTGTAAAAAATACCCGACAGTTTCCTTTGGAAAATCATATACGAAGGTATCCCTCCGTAAGGCAAAACAGATCTGAATTTCTTGCTATAAACCGTTCTAATTCAAGAAAAATAAAAGTGATTTTTTTCAAATATTTATTTAAGAATTATCTTACCTTTCAATGTATGCCAGTCCCTTAGTCCTTTTTAAAGGTAGTCTATTGCAAGATCCTTTTTCGATGACAAGAAAGTATTTTGCACCTAGAAACAGAACATAAATTCCTCATAACTAATAAACCAATATAAACACATCGACAAAAACTTCCATGAAAAGAAAAGTATATAAAAATGCACATAAAACTTGGATAAAATCATAATAACACATACTATTTCGAAATTCTGATCAGCTGTTATTAATCAGTTCTGTTCACATAACCTAAGAGTCTGGACTACGAATAATACTAAATTTGTATTTTACATATATAAATTTATTTCACTCGCATAATTTCTAAGTATCACATCCCATTTACGAAACACTTTTACATATTTCACTGAATTTTATTATTCAAAGTGTTATGTCATTTCAGCATAATTTAAAGTTAATACAGGGTATGTAATTACACAATTCAGAGCATATACAGAGTATTGCCGAATTCGAATGACAGATTCAGAGGGAGGATAATAGGCATTAAGAGGATGAAATATTACCAAAGAACATAGGGTCGCAAACCCCGTTTTTTTCAATGAAAATCAAAAATAGACATCGAGAGAAGCAGAGTGCCTGCCGAAGAGAGTGGCCAAACAAATGCGAAGATTACGAGCACTGCGGTCAAGAAGGAGAAACCATCTCGTATGCAAATTTCCAATGAGTATGGGGAAAATAAAAGCAGCGGTCGAAAAGAAGAAACCATCTCGTATGCAAATTCCCCATTTTTTTAGTTTATCATCATAAAGTTTATTTCAGTTACACTAGAAGCAAAACTACTGAAAGTGAATTTAAAAGAACGAATCAATTCACTGTCAATTCGAATATTTTTATATAAAAGACTGAAATGAAAATTCAGTAAATTCGTTCCGAAACAACTCCACAAATTTTGCCTTAAAGTTATGGAACTTTTTATATTTAACTTATAAAGCCTAACAAATATTTTACTCACTGAATTTGCTATTTTATGGGATCTATATAAAAATTATGATCTATTTGCTGTTACAAAATTATTTCAACCCCAGAACTGAAACTGTCTTCTCTACTTGTAACTGGACTTTAAATTCATTAATTAAATAGCAACATCAACTACATAGCTAAGACCTAATATTTAAAGAAGTAAAGCTTGTGCCATCCTTTGTTTTGAACACACTGTATAAACAATTATTCACAGATAAAATTTGATAACTAGCGAAAATTTAAGCAAAGGCGGTTTTAATTTGTAATTAAAGTAGAAATCAATTAACTTAATTGAAATTAAATTAGACTCGTTTATTATTAATAAGCAGAAATATTTCATATTTAAATTTCACATATTGTACCTATTGGTATTGCTTACAGGTATTGTATATTTTTTAACAGCGAAAAGCAAAGTTTGGTTAATAAATAACTTTAAACAACGTTTGTTGACAAAATACATTTCAAATGCAACAATATAAATAAAAACAATAGTATTTTTTTTTTAAATTTTTATTTTAAGTGTATATACATAGCACATTTATTATTGGCACGAATTGTAATTTGCAACCTTGACTCTTACAGTCATGCTCCATGGGAATGAGTGATGGGTTATAATGAAATCTATTTTCTAATGTTTGTTAAAAAAACATCTAAAAACGTTTCGAAAAATCCACGCACTTTATATTAATTTTATACACAATCAGTCTGTGATGCGGCAAAAAACAACCAATTTCTATGTATGGTAAGACCAAAGAAACATTTCAAATCCAATAAGGTAGTAAATTATTCAGAACTAAATACTGAGTCAAAGCTTATTATAAAAGTTATAGTATAACGCATCATAATAAGAAAACAACCACTCAAATAAAACAAATAGATATTTAGCAAGGTATGAAAACAGAATGGGATGTAAAAATTCCTTTATACCTTTATATATGGTAAAATAAAACTATAAGAAAAAAAATTTCTTACTGTGCACTCCCGTAAGCACAAGCACACAGTACCAATCATTACTATCCGTATGGGAAACTTGGGTTGCTTTTCCTCATAATGTAACGCAAGTACATATGAAGACCAGGACGAAAACCAACCATGCAGCTACCCTTTCGCCTGAAGAGTTTACTGCTTAGTTGGTTTTCGTGCAAAAGGGGTTGCAACCATGGAGGTAAGAATCATGGAGGTAAGAAACTTCCTACCTCCATGGTAAGAATGAAAGGAGGGGCCAATCCCGCACTACGAGTGCACTGCTCCGAGGCTTCAATCCCCAGATGGGGTGTTTTTTGTTTACATTCAGAAGCTCCCTTGACAGCGCTCTGATAGTATTTCGGCACACACATGGAGGTAAGAAAGGCTTACTTCCTAACTCCATGGACACACACGACAGTTCCATACAAATCGAAAAACGGGACACTTCCGCATAAAAGAAACATTCATTGTGTGATGGATAATAGCAATTTGTATAGTTTAGTGACATTTACGCAAAAATCACATTTTAGTTATCTTTCGATAACTAACAACAGCGATTTTGATAACGAATTTGTTTTATAAAATTCTAAGCCGTTGAATTACAAAAATATAGATTTTAGTACAAATGATATGTTTAAAGAATGAAAAATACCTTACGGAACCTTTAAAATTGTATACGTCTTTCTATACCCTTGATAGAATATTCGCTACTCTTATTTTATGTTCCAACACCAAAATGTTTTAAATAAAATATTTTTTTCCTCATCCACATATTATTTTAACATGTACTTTTTAAAATTTTTTAGAGAAGAGGCTTAATAGTTGCTCATTTTAAACTCATCATATTATTTTTACATAACTGAAGAATAATCCCTTTTGATTTACACTTTTGGGATAGCTAAAAAAATAAAATTACCAACAAATGCTGCAATCCTAGTCAAAATTAATAAATATACAGACAGATGTGCCGATAAGTTAACTTTTCCTTGATTTGTAACCACACATTTGTGTAAGATTATGTATAATTTTACACAAATGTGTGAACAGAAGACATATACATTTGCGAATTCGGCGGAAGTACCATGCGAGGTGAAGGTGATGAGAAATTAGTGTAAATTACTTTACTTGAAATATATACATAATGCACAGAAATTAAAGATTTGAACAAGCCGAAAATGAAAAACATGAAATATGTTTGGGTATTTATGCATATGCTTGCAAAAAGCATATATCTGCCTTTAAAAAATACGTATATATTTATTAAAATATTTATAAATGTATTTGAAATGAAGGATTTATTCATTCATAAACTCATGTGGAAGTTACTGTGAAGAAATCTAGTTATTAAATATATCTAAATTTATAATGATTATAAATATTATCTAAATATATAATATCCTTAACACTGAATTGTACACATAAATTGAAATTCTGTTGACAAATACGTTTATAAAACTATTTAAGCAAGAACTGTTCGTAGTGGAAAGCAATCTGTTAAACGTTATTGTAGAGCAAATTCTATGAAATGCGTATTTAAGGAAGTAGTAAAGAAGAGTTTTAGAATATGTAATGTTGAAATTAGCGTGTGTGTGTGATTATGGCAAAGCCTCGAGGGCTATCTGCCTAACGGGAGGGATGCCTTCGTGGAGGACTTTCTAAGGGAAACTGGCTCGTATACACGTTACACATGGGGAAAACCACGAAAACGCCCATGCAGCCAGCCCGTTCGCGGGATTCGAACCTCGGACCGAACTACCAGTGTTCAGCGACTTTACCACTCGACCGCTGGTGGGCTAATGTTGAAATTAAGGGTAAAAAAAAATGTGATAAGTAAAAAATTAAAAGAATTATTCCATTCCATTTTATAATAACTCAGTTACAAGTTTTAAATAATATTTAAAAAATACCTTTTTTATTCCCTTTCAGAAATATTCAGAGAAAGTTAAGTACACATCGAAATGTGCACCAATATTTAACGTATTTCATTATTAAAATAAAAGGTGTTCTAATTTGAAATGGATCGAATAGAGAATTAATTATAAAATGACTCAGAATTTCGATTTAAAAGATGCCTCAGAAGCTAAAAAATCACGTCATATTTGAGAAAGTATTTTAGGAAGAAGCTCTGTAAATAGAAAAGAAATATTGAGTAATTTTTAATATTAATAATACAACAAACTTTTATTTTAATTTTTGTAAACCTTAACCGAATAAAATCGAATTACTTAAAAATGTTTTCGAATGTAATTAAGGAAAAATTACGAAAATATTTCATTCAAATTAAACTGTTCTGTGAAAAGTATAGCATTTAATTCCTTTCAGAATGAAATGTTGTTTAAAATGTATTCTTTTCACATACTTAGAACTCTGAAATATTAATTACAAAACGTTTACGTCCGATCGTGTTAAAACCCATTGATCTTAATGGTAAGTAACCGAACGTTTTCGTCACCACAAAGGGATCTCCAGTGCTTCAAAGCAGTGTATGGGGAAAATCAGTTTAAGGCCTCTCCCTCTTACTTCCTACCTCCATGGTTGCAACTATGCAGCAATCCCTTCGCCCAAGTCAAACTCCCAATATTCAGCGGTGTTACTTCATTCGACCACCTGGTGGGCCTATTTTGAAGTACTTTGTACGTATGGATTTGATCCATGTGTACTAACTCTATATGCAATATTCCACTGAAAAGAGGTTAAATATTACTTAAAATTTTTACATCAGACGTAAAAACGATAGCTATTTGCGAGTTATGAAATATGTGTACAAATAATTCCAGTAAACTTACACCAGACTTTCAATAAAAATATAAAAGGAAAAGTAAAGAAATAAACTAGAAGACGTAAGAAGAAAGTCGAACACATGCAGTCAAGTGAATATCAGCGTGATTTTGTTGCGTAAATCGGGAAAGTTTAAAACAGCAGCTGCTCAAAATCTGCACAAGTACGCGATAGACGTCATAACAAATGCCTCTGTTCAAACTCACCGCTAGAAACGGAGCTAAAAACGACATTTCTAAAAGCTTGCGAAACAATAACTTCGCCTTGCACTTTTCCTGTTCTTGTTATTTTCATACAGTTTTTGGAACAGAAATGGCAAAATCACATTTACGTAATCTTGTTCCAAAGCCTT